CCTGCCTAGGCAGGGTGATGGACTAGAAGACCTCCAAGGTCCCTTCTAACTCTGCTATTGTATTGTACTGTATTTAGGAGGCCCAACTGATCTCCTTTTCTATTCCTTGTTCAAGAAAGTATAGAAATTTATTTTCTGTCTTGGATCCCAGATCCACAATCATGTAACTTTTAAATGATCTTTTTACAGAAGAGAGAGGTACCCCAATTTCTACTGCAGCAATGGATTTCTTGTTGCCATATCAAAAAGCCAGTGATCCCCTTCTCAATGAATCCTACTTCTGGAAATGCTCCTTTGCATTGTGAAATTTCTAAAAAAAATATGTCTTTGATGAGCAGACACCCTAATCATTAGTTGGTTTGCCCAAAATCCTAAACCCTAAAATTTTATCTGGGATAAAAATTAATGCAATGTAGCACTTCACTTGAAAGATGTAAGAATTATTTATTCCAACAAGGTCTAAACATCCTGTTTCATAATTACAGACCATAGTGTTCAAGAGAGACTTACACTTGTACAATGCCTATAATTGTACCAAATCAGGTGGCCTCTGCTTCTAGATTTTATCTGAGCCAATTACTAATTTAAGCAAACCTAACATGTTTCTTCTTTGCCCAAAGTTATCTGTAAATATTAGAGGTTTCTTAAGCATAGTCTACAAGAGTTTTGTTTATGGCCAGAAATACATTCATTGCAATTGAATGAAAAAGGAACTATTGGCTTTACTTGTTCTACAATAAGAGATGTCATACAATACAGCAGAGGATCTAGAGAAAGGGTGGTGTCTTTGGTGAAAGAGTTTAAATACAGGTTGGATGATAATCTGTCAAGAATATTGTAATAGTAGATTCCTGCAATGGGCAAAGAAATCTAGATGATCTTTAAGATCCGGTCCAAACCTTGCATACTGACAAGTAGGTGCTCCTCAAGTAGGTGACCACTAATTTTTTTAAATATGTGTCTTGACTATAGTGGAAACCATCAGGGCCTCTTTAAGGGTCAGTCATCCCATTTCCAGCATGCCTCTAGTACTCTTCCCTAGAACTTTTGAAAGGTTCTATTGTATGGCAACCAGAATGCATGTCTAAGGGTGTGGGCCACTGGTAAGGCTCATTGTGCTTAGACTGTTGTCACTCTACTGAACTTCTTCCTGGAATTAATATTTGAAGATTTTGCAACTTTCTTTCTTAAAGGCACAGAATCAACATCGACAGGAGAAAATAAATCATCACACTGGATAACAGATTTGATTTTATTTGGAATGTTAACTAGGCCTGTGAAGACCAACACCCTGTTCTATATATCTTAATCTTGCAAACACAAACACAATGGTTCTTTCTGTGCTCTTGGCTTTGGATATATGTATAAAAAAAGGCTTTCTTCTTATTCTTCTTAAGAAAGCGTGGTTCAAAGATTCCTTTAGTTAAGGAAGATCGTATCCTCAACTTTTCTCAAGGAAGTAACTGGAATGTATAAGATGCAGAACTTAGTCACTGCCACACAAAGCCACCAAAACCTTTTCGTAATCGCCCTTTGTTTCATCCTGGATGTGGAAAAAAATGAAAATAAATCATATCCAACAGAGCCAGAGTAGTGCAAGCATGTCCCTCCTGTTCATCTCACCCCTACTTATATTCTAAAGCTAAGTTCATGCACGATACATGATCCTGTCTCCACTTGTTTGGCTGCAACCACACAAAATAAAAACTCAGTATTTTATGTATGCTGAAGAATTACATTAAAAACTGGGTGAACAGTTTTAATAAGAATAATAAAAAAATCTTAATTATAAGATAAAGAACCGTGGTGATGCAGTAATTATAATGCAGTATTGCAGGTTACTTCTGTTGACTATCGGCTGCCTGCAATTTGGTAGTTCAAATCCCACCAGGCTTAACTCAGCCTTCCATCCTTTCAAGGTTGGTAAAATGAGGACCCAGATTGTTGGGGGCAATAAGCTGACTCTGTAAACTGCTTAGAGAGATCTGGAAACCACTGTGAAGCGGTATATAAGTCTACATGCTATTGCTATAATAGCCTCAATTATATTACTGTTACCCCCACCCAAATACAGTCATAATATGTTTAATTCTGTCAATGGAAATAAAAATCCTGGACTCTTAAGTCCCATTGCAAACCACATAGCTACTTAGTTCTGGTTCTAATTCCTTAATCACAAAGTCTAATTCCTTAAACCCATGTTAGCCGCAAATAAAAGCAGAAATAACCTACCAAAATTGCCTGGCAGAGAGACACCCCATATTTTGCCTTGTAAAAACCTTTGATTTCATTCATATCAATTTCAGCCCGTGACACCATAATTCTGTTCAGAGTTTTAGTACGGGTTCCGGAACCCTGTGGGAGAAAAAAAAGAATAGAAATAAATTATTTTCATAATTCTTGAGCTTAAGAATTGGTTTATGAGATAATTTAAACTCTCTTTGCCTTTATGATAGGTCTCCAGACTTCAAGTGACAACTCAGAAGACGACAAAAGAGCCATTTGTAACTCAGGAAACACCAAGGATACCGCACCAAAGAGCTACCTCAGAGAACAAAAGTCCTTTGCATATTCATTCAGAAATAGACATCATAATCTTTCTGTCTGCACCCATATGAATGAAACTCAAGCCACGCCTGTCTGTACTAGAAATTTGAGTTCACACTCCACTGTTTACGCCACCTGAGTTTCTGTTAGAGGGGAATCTGTCTCCATAGAGTCAGAGAATCCTTTTCTGATTTCAGAAGGGCCTCTACTATTGTAAGCAACATAATGAACCACTCCCAGATACTGTTTGCCAGAGGCAGGTTATGAGATCTTGCATATTCCCACCAGCAAATATTTGTGTGCAATTTCAAAGGTGCTTTTTCAAAAGGCCACTGCACTTTTGTTTTTTTCCCTTGAAGATATTTTGCTTCTCATCCAGGAAGCTTCTTCGGTTCTGACTGAATGGTGGGTGGGAAGGGAAGGATTTATGTTCCTTAAAACCATTATTTCTAACTTGTGCCCAAAATTGTCTGCCTTAACTGGAAATGTAGTACAAATGGATTATTCTCTTTTTCAAGAGAAAGGATCAGAAGATTGAAAATGTAATGTTTGTGTTGGCATACTCCTTTAAAACAAAGCCCCTTTCCTGGTGGTAACATTTCTTTTACCTTCATTGCTAGATACAGCTTCTCAGCAAAGAAAGCCGGTTTGCTTACAGCACTTTTCACTGGAAATGAGAAAGAACCAAGATTATTTATGACCATAAATTAACAAAAGCAAGGTGCAAAGAAAGAAACACAATGTATTTTTCCAAAGAGTGTGATCTTATGAAGAACTGCACATTACGGTTATATATAGCTAACAAAAGAATTGTGGCAGAACTGGGCAGAGAAGCAGGAAAGAAGAAACCTTTTTATGACTTTAAGAAAATAACTTTGAACTGATTAGTAAAGTTTTATCCAAAAAGTTAAAACACAGCTGGCAAAGAAAAGATAAAACAGATACATGCTCCTCTGTTTTGTTGATAAAACGGAATATTTATTTATTTGCATTTATTTATTTATTATTTATTTATTCATTTTTTTAAAAAAAAAAACCCTTCAGATATTTTTATTGCCTTCTTAGATTTACCAGTTTTCTTCTGGAAGTGATTGTATAATAATAAGATAAGACTCTTTCTGTCCTTTCATACTTTTGCATGCATCAAAACTCACTTACAGAATGACAAAAATTTAACAAAACATAATACAAAATACTTGGTTGTTATTAACATCACTGATTGACAATGCAGGGCAAAATCTAAGGCTGCTATGCCCTCCCCAGTTTCAAGGGGAGGACTGGAACCTTATTAGGTTACTGAGAGGCAAATTAATTTGTTTCTATTTTTATAGCTGCTCCTCTCAAACAAGTGAGACTGGGATGGGGGGGGGGGGATGACCAGCAAAAACACACATACAAAAATGCAAAATAAATACACAGTCAGCAGCTGCTATCAAAGCAATAATAACTGGCAATAAAACCATATAGTGACACGCTGACCTCCATCCCCAAGAACACAACAAGGGCATTCACAAGTCAAAAGGGTCAGGGCCAATCTGATCTCTGGGAGAATAACATTCCAGAAGGCATAATCTTGAGACCAAATTTAGGAAAGAACACCTTTCATACAGAAGAGGTTTACATACCAAGTGCCGTCAAGCAATTCTCAATGTCTCCTTTCAGCTCAAGGTCCAGAACTTTCTCCATGTCATGTTTGCTGTAGTTCTGGTATCTCTGAAAAACTGAAACCAAAGAGGACAATTTGGAACAGATTGTTTCCCTAACAAGTACACAGGATTGGATTATGCTGCACGTATTTAATACTTTCCCCATCTATCAAATCAAGATTATAATCTGCTGTCCACTTTTAGAAAGGACAGAGACCACATGTGTTCTGGCCTAGGATTCCCCAGCAGCATAAAGCCAAGTCCTCATCCTGATAAATCCCTTTTATTTAATTTACAGTGAATTCCTCTCCAGCAAAGTCCCGGCCCACAGTTTTTCAAGATAATTCACAATTACCGATCTTTATCAGGATTGGAGAGTGGCCAGGCGATATCTTTCAGATGCTGCAATACTTGGCAAGAATGCAGGAATGAACTAATTGTCTCCTGCAAAGTCCCTTCTCCTTTCGCTCCCCTTTTATTCCCTATGGGAGGAGCCATTCACCGTCCACCTGTGGCCTTACTTCCAAGTCGACCCTTGTTCCTTAGCTGTTCCCTTCATCTGGCAACTCTGCGCATGCGCACATTGGGAACAGGCTCCAGCTGTTCGTCTGCCTCACTGATGTCTGACTCCAAAGGCAGCTGATAACTGTCAGATGGCCCTGGCCCCATCTCTGCCTCTGAAGCAGAGCAATCATCAGAGCCTTCCCCAGACTCCAGGACTGGCTCATGTTCCTCCCCAACCTCCTCACTGTCCAAATCTGCTGCCAGTTCTGCTGGCCACTGGCAGGCCACAACAACATGCAAGGCTTCTGGAAGCTATACAGACTACTAGAATCCCAAATTATGTAAGTTTGACTTAAATAAGAAGGGCTGTGCACTCCATTTCTGAATTGAAAGACAGGTGGTCCTCAACTTACAATCACTATTGAGCCCAAAATTTCAATTGCTAAGCTAGACAGTTGCTAAGTGAGTTGGTGCTTTTTAAGTGACTCACTCCAGTTTTTAAGTTAGTAACACGGTTGTTAATGCATTTGGCTTCCCCATTGACTTTGTTTGTCAGGAGGTTGCAAAAGGTGATCACATGGACACTGCAATTATAAGAAATATGTGCCAGTTGTCAAGCATCTGAACTTTGATCACATGATCATGGGATGCTGCAATGGTCATATGTGTGAAAAATGGTCATAAGTCACATTTTTCAGTGCTTTCGTAACTTATGCCGTTTCTTGCTTTCTACTTACCCCTTCGAAGGTGTTGGTTACTTCTGGTAGTGAGAATCTCAATGAAAACATTAACATCCGTTCCTTTTTTTCTCTCTCCAGCCTCATATAATTTCTATTACAATGAAAGAAACCATTTCAAGAGAGAGATTCCAAAACATTAGAGATATAATAATCAGATTCAAGCAAAAGACTTTGTAACACCTTTTCAGAAGGTGTCAACTTGACCTCCAACTGTGGATGACAGGCTTGAGAACCAAACCATTGACTGGGGTTATAAGCACAGCAAAATCCGAACTCCAAAATTTTCAGCCCCATATCTCACACTCTTCACCACTACTTTAGCTCTCATATGGGGGTGACTCTGAAAACTCAGTGATGTATGTTAAGTCTACTCCAAAGAAAAATCTTTCTAGTTTCAGGTACAACAGCTATCATTTTGCCAGTATGAAAAAGAAGAGTTTCCTTTGATCAGCTGGTGGCTGATGGCAGTCAATGTGTACCTCCCAAAATGTACCTCCCAAAAATTCAGTAGTTATTGATACTAATTTAATGTCCTGATTATCACTCCAGGGGTGGGTTCCAGCAGTCACTACTGCCAATTCGCTCATGGGTGTGCTGTGCGCATATGCGCAGTGCAATAAAAATTGCTCTGCGGATGCGCAGAAGCAAAAAACAAGATGGTGGCCCCTATGGCACCACTCGGAGAACCGGTTCAGGGGCTAGCAGGCCTGGGTCACTGCCAGTTCAAGGCCGCCAAACCACTACTGTTTTGGCCGAACTGGTAGGAACCCACCACTGGTTCGCTTCCTGAGGATTTCCCGCAACTAATGGACACATGAGGAAGTTAATCACATTCAGGGATTAGATTCAGCTCCTCATTTACGAACCCCAGCAAGGCACAGCTGGATAGCAACTAATGTTATAGGATTAAGTCCTACCTTCTGACATTTTGATGTGCATTATTCCCTATTTCTTTTGTTTACATAGGCATGTGTTTCCTGCAGGATCTATCACTTCCTCTCTTGGCATGCAATTCTAATACACTTCTTTAATAGATGAGTTTGTATGAGCCATCCAAGAAACATAAGATGGTTCCTAGAAAGGATCAGCCACTGACCAACTGGGAAAAGCAAAGGCAGGAAGTAAAACCCGCAACAAAGATTCATTACAGGAAGCCCATAGGTGCCACGTCCTTTTGCTCATGCCTTTTGGTGGCTGTAAAATTTAAAGTGAGTCTTATATCCAATACTTCTTCTGGGAAATGTCTGTGGACATTCTCAATCATACAGGGCATGGTTGTCCTAAAAAGGCTTTTTCCAAAAGGCAACTGGACTTTCTTGGTTTTTTTTTCCTTTGAAAATATTTCACTTCTCATCCAAGAAGCTTATTCAGTTCTGTAATAAAGAAGCTTCTTGGATGGAAAGCAAAATGTTTTCAAAAGGAAATAATAGAGGGAGTCCAGTTGTCTTTTGGAAAAAGCACCTTTAGGACATTCTGCCGGGAAATGCAGCGCCAAGTCCCATATCCTTTCTTCCCTGGGAAGATGGGAGGAGTGCTTGGAATGGATTCACTTGCCTGAAGGAAGTCTCGTTTTTGACAGGCAAGGCAAAACAGACATCAAAGGTAGCAATAAGTATTCCTTACCCTTGCATCATTGTCTACCAACTCTTCATTCACATGTGGATTTTCATTCCGGTCACCCTGAAACAAATCAGTCTCACTTAATTCAATATTGCATACCAGAATCACAGATCATTATTGAACCAATATGACTTCTGAACATTATGGAGTAATACAAACCTTTGCTAAGGCAACCAAAGCCTTCTGAAAATCTCCCGAAGTGTCTGAGACAATGTCTTTGGCGAGATCTCTCTTAAAAGCTGCAGAAGAGAAAACATATTGAGAAAAGAGCTTCAAATGCAAGCATTAGCCATAAATTATTTTCTTCCTTACATAAGGCTTCTACATTTCTACTCAATTCCTTTTGTAATCTCCTCGGGCTTGCATTTTTAAATCATTGCTTAGATTTCACAAGGCAAGATGTAAATGATACCTTGAAAGCTTTCCATGAGAAATTCCAATTTTATCTTCATTGGAAAACTTGCAGGTTATCATAAATATGCCAAGTTATTTTCAGATGTTCAAAAACAGAATACGACTTTACAGATGTTCTATTCTTTCTTGTACGTTAGTTTGACATTAGTTTTTATCTTCAATTGGTAAAAATCTTCTGGAATTTAGGGTTCTAAAATCCTTACAGCTGGGTTTTTTTGTTCAGGTGTGCCATAAACTGATATATAACTCCAACTGTATCAACAAATGACTACCAAAATGCTTTACATTGTTGGCTGAAGAGGCATTAACAAAATAGATGTAAGGTGTTGTTTTTTTAAGGAGTAATTTACCTTGTTGATATTGTCTGCCGACGTCTCTAATTTCTTTATTATTCCTTGTTGTCAGAATCTCAATTAAGATATCTTCATCTGTTCCAAGCCCCTGTTTGGCAATAAATCAATATACATAAGCAAAGTTTTTTTTTTTTAATAAAAGAACTTATTCCATCAAGTGCAATGTTCAGGCAGATGCAAGAAACCTTTGGCTATAAAATGTTACTGAGCTACAATTCCAGCTTTTATGCCCTTGCTGGAAATATTAGTTCACCTATAGCTACCTGGATGACAGGACACAATAATGGAATCTTGAACTATGAAGATTAACATGGGGCTGGCTTACATTTTATATTGCCATGTACGTATTACCAACCATTTAGACTACTGCAATGTGCTCTACATGGAACTGCCTTTAAAGACCACTTGCAGTGGTCAAAATGCAGGGGCTCAGCGGTTGGTGATAGGTTCCTCTTACACTTTTCTGGAGACCCTGCACAGGGTCTCTATTAGTTTCTGAGTGCAATTTTAAGTGCAGTTTTAATCCATAAAGCCTATTCTGGCTTGACTCCTCACTTGCAGGACTGTATTTCTCCACTGAAGTTGTGTCAAATGATCCAATGATGTTTGGGGAAGCAGCAGTTTTTTTATTTTTTTTATTTTCAGGAGGTCAGAGATCTAAAGTCCAGAAGTGCATTTTTTTCCCCATTCCTCTGGAATGGCAGCTCAATTGACTCTGGCATTATCTAATTTCCAGAGAAATTGAAGATGGAACTTTCCCAGAAAGCACTAGAAGTGTGGCATTACTTGACTTCTGTCAATGGTTTCTTTTAGGTATTTTGATACCTTACTATGTATTAGTTTTTATTTTTGTTGTAAACCACAGATAATTTAAATTGCCGCATGGTATAAATCTGACACATAAATTTTAAACTGTTTTGAGGGCACTATGAAAAAGACTCTAAAGCTTATCTTCTTTTTTGACTGTCATCATTTGTCAAAACTACCCCATCGTTTCAAAGGAAGAATAATTCTCTATTGCTCTCCAATGCAGGTAACTCTTAATTTCTTCTAACTGTGAAACTGACTTGTCTGATAAATTGCCTTGTAATTTCTAAGAAGTTTTTTCGTCTAATATGCCAGGATCACATTAATTATACTGAAATATTTTGAGAGAAAAAGAAAGGAAAAGAGAAACAAAGAACAGAATGAATTGGATGGTTCAACATGTTTTGAAGGTGGTTTGTTTGGGAACGACAAAGAAGAAATTTGTTGAAATGGACTGATTCCACACACCAGAAAACAATTACATTAATTGCCCTTATTCTAGATTATTTCTGTCCTTGATCACTTCACTATGGACTTTGAGAATTACCACTTAATAGAACTTGGAGGACCAAGTGGGAATTCAGCCCAAAACAGTTTGCATTGTACTGAACCATGTGATTACCTATACCTCCACCTATATTGGCTATATATTTACAGTGCAATTTTCATGGAACTCCTTCAGCTTCTTCATTGAGCACATGACAACTTCCAGCAAACATACCATTCATTCCAATGTCTCTGTAAGCCAAGAGTGTCCAATCTTGATAATTTTAAGAATTGTGGACTTCAACTGCTGAAATTTCCCAGCCGTTGGCTGGAGAATTCCAGGAATAAGTCCACAACTCTTAAAGTTGCCAAGGTTGGACACCCCTGCTTTAACTGAGAAGATTTCTCTCTCGCTCTTATCTCTTTAGTATAATGTCGACCCAAACCTTGAAAGACAAGCATACAGTACCTTCATAGAGTATCTAAGCTCGTCAGCATCAAATTGGGCAGGAGTTTTCAGCATAGCCACAACAACATCTTCTAGATCGCTTTTGAGAGCTTTTTTCAAAGCGTCTTCCAGAGACTATGAGAAAAAAACAAATGTTTAACAACTCTTTATAGAACTTATTCAGATGATAAAACAGTATTTTCCAAACACACAAGAAAATGTTCAATACCAAACCATGTATAAGAACTTCATTCTTCCTGCCTCAAGGAAAAAGCAGTTAGTTTACATTTTTTTAATATGTATATACTCCCTTGTTTTTTGTACTCTGGACATGAGATAATCTCCTAAATAAAGCTCTTGCACTTACAAAACAAACAATTCCAGTAGATTTGTTTAAGTCCTTGTTAATTTATCCTTGTAAAGTGGCTTTTCTTTGCTCATTCTGTTCACACCCATTCACAGGTAGGGCTTACCTGCCTGTAACTGAATGATACAGATTCTATTTTTAAAAAAAAATAGGAGACAAAACCTCTATTTTCAAGAAGAGACTGGACAGCCATTCATCTGAAATGGTATAGCACAGTGATGGCTAACCATTTTGTTGTTGGGTGCCAAAAATGCAAGCACACACACATGGATGCATGTGCCAGCATCCATAATGCAAGGGGCGCCCCCACGTGCGCATGCACGCAAAAAAACTCCTACGCTCTCACCCGCCATATGGGTTGTCTTCAAGCTGGGCTTGGTATTTTCTCTCGGGGGGGGGGGCAGGGAAGGCTGTTTTTGCCCTCCCCAGGCTCCAGGAAAGTCTCCGGAGCCTGGGGAGGGC